TGCTGTGGCAGAGACAATCGATCTACATCTTGTAAGTTCGTATGCGTGCAGAAAATTTGGACTGAGAGCGTAGCCTCTGCATAAAAACATGGATGAGAAATTTCAACAATCTAAGCGAAAGTTATTGGAAAGGTCATTTTCCTCTAAGAGAATGGCAACTGAAAGTGGGGGATCCCTGGTTTCGAAACGAGTACTTTTTGACAAGACGAATGTCAACACGCCACGCTGACGAAAACATGTCTCGCCTCTGTGTAGTTTGCGATAATCTCATGGAAATATCATGGTAGTCTAAATGATCCAGCACTTTTATATTGCATTCGTCAGGATTTGTTTGTGTCATAATATCAAAAACGGTTGTGGAAAGTGTCGCGATCACGTATAGTACAGCCGAAACAAAGTTCGCGTAAATCGTGGGCGATCCTAGTAGCCAGGAACCTCTGAACCTTTTCACGATTGACCACGATAAAATAATAGACTCTGCATGACTATTTATTTGCATATCAAAGTACCCGGATCTGGTAAAAATTCTTACCAGTGAATTGCAGCACCGGACAGTCGGTCGTGCCTAACGGCACTCCATACTCCATTCGTAATTTATTCACGCCTATTACGTATATAGACAATTATTATTATTAATAACAGATTAATTTTAGGTACAACCGACTGGCGACTGTCTAGTCTAGTCGCCATAATGAAGGGTTGTTAGCAAACGTGATGTCCTGGACCCACCTACCAATGCTCTCATTCGGATATCCGAATTAGTTTTAAACCTTAATTGCTTTAACTTTCCATGATAATTTCTATACCAAGGTGCGCGGCGTTGCCATGGGTACCCGTATGGGTCTGTCCTATGCATGTCTCTTTATGGGATATCTCGAACAAGCCATTTTTAGAGGTCCACGCCCCGATTTATTTAAACGTTATATTGATGATTGTGTAGCCTCTTGTTCATGGGAAGGCCTTAATGAGTTTATCAATTTTGTGTCAAATTTCAATCCAGCCATTCAGTTTACATCTACAGTTTCCAGCGTGTCAATACCATTTCTTGATATCAGCCTATTCATAAATCATAACTCATTGCGTACATCTGTCGCATACGACTTATTTATCACTTCCGTGTCACTGAGAATGTTCTAGAACCGTACTGTGTCTGGGTGGAATATTCTAGATTTTTTGTAGAAACTGGTTGAATAGGTAATAGAACACTGCAGGAGGCAATAGAAGGTAATGCAACATTCTAGAAATTTGTAGTAAGTTCCAGACTCATTATGTATGCTGATGTAATGGTCTATTTATAGACAGTGGGGGTATATATAGGGGAGTTGTTCAGCACTGAGTTCAGATCGGAGATCTCGTTGAGTTGTATTTTAGTTTAAGTATCTAGTCATTGGAGCAGTGGAGTTTTGCCGCGTTATTGTACTTGATGTTTGCAGAGTATAATAATACCAGTACCAGATGAAACATCATTGTTTGTCTCCGTGTTCGTATTTTATCATCGCCGCCAGTCTTTCTGTTACTGTTGCCATTTTGTTATTTGAACCATCACACCTGTATTATACCAATTACGGTAATATTACGTTGCGTGTGACAACATCAATTTATTACAAATCTACAGATTCCCATTCATATGTATTTTATAACTCTTCCCATTCCAAAATGTGTGATGTTTCGATTCTTTATACACAGTTTCGCAGGTTACGCAGTAGCTGTTCAGACAATACAGATGTCTTTAATCAAGTCAACATTTATGCGTCAATTTTTCATATCTCGTAATTATCCTGTCCCTATTATGGATGCTGCGGTTGCGCATGTGCAGTCTTTACCCCAGGACCAGGCTTTGTTGACCAGTAAAGCTCTGGATAGTTATCGTATTCATTTAGTCCTTACTTATCACCCCAATAAAATAAAATCATTAAAATTCATTTTGAAAATATTTCTTTATTACAAAATACACCTAATACTAAAGCTCTATTTAAATCATTACCTATTATGATTTAGAGATTCAAGCAGATGGTTTGGTCCACTCAATAGTCTGTAATGCCGACTGTATTGCAGGAACTATTCTCTGTAATCGGCGGCGGTGTAATACATGTACATTTGTGTTTACTACTGACAAAACTGAGGGCCCTAGTGGTGGATATGTAAATATCAAAGAGTTATTTACTTGCACTTCATCTAAAGTGGTTTATTGTATTAGGTGTACTCAGTGTAAAATGTTGTACATTGGCGAAACCAAACGAGGTCTATCTAAGATTTAAACAACGTACTTTATTCCACACACGTAAGAAGTAGGCAGGTATTAGAGAGGTTTAGTTACGCGTTATCATTCAAATTTACACATACGCAGGAAGAACGGCTGGAAGTCGCGTTCGGAACGTGTAGGTCCAGTTCTAGACGTTATTATCATTACGGGTAAGTTCAAAAACAATTCTCTACAATTGTGCTCGCATTTTGCATTCATCTTATATGCAATATATTATAATATAATATTGCAATATTGATAGTTAATATAGACTTAATACATCATTGATGAATATTTGTGTTTTTTTATGATAGAATTTCGTCATGGCAGCTGGACCATCTCAGTTGGCTCCGCACAACCCTGCACCTAACATTCGGAAAAAAATTATGAGATTTGCCGCATGGCAGGATGTAATGTTACTGAGGGAGGTAGTAGCGGAAAATCCTTTCACTGCTACCCTGAAAGAATCGGGGAAAGTCTGGTCTGCTATCGCCAAAAAAAACTTGTCGATGTTGACGAGTCGTTTGTTGTGGATGGTCGTCGATGCAGAGAGAGGACTTATTTACTTTTAGAATACTATAAACAACAGGATATTGCGAGCCTGAAAAGGTTTGTTAGCGTTTTAAATCTTTTTTCAAACTGTTTTGATACAACATTCATCCAACAAAATTTTTTTACATTTTCGATTTTTTTGAATTTCTTAATCGCCTAAAGCTCTTAAACAATAATATAGAAACACATATTGTTTGTTTTATGTATTGGCTATAATCATCAGTCAAAAACGTATGCATCACACCTTTTTGTCATTGTTAAAAACATATAACAAAATTCAAATAAAAATCATAAATTTAAATACAAACCGATAAAAAAATAAAAGCAAATTGACCAGAAATATTGGTAAAAAAAATATTACTATAATCCTGTATTTGTTGTTGCAGAATTGGAACTGAAGAACAGTATAGGGAAAAGGAACAGCTTTTAGAAAAAATACAAAGAGAGAATTAAAAGTGTTTCAAGAGAAGAATGGTGAAAAACGAAAGGCATTAATGATAAGAAAAGGAGCCATGGAAACGTTAAGACCAGCGAGTAAGTATATTAGTACTGTGGTTTATTAGGCCAGACTTGTATTATCCCTTGTTTAGCGAACCCGCCGAATGAACAGGAGCCAAAAATTAAATAAAAATAAAATTTTATTTCAGTGTAATTTCTCGCGCCCGGCGACTTGTGAGTGCAAAAAAATCATTTTTTTCCGCCCGCCGCCTAACAAATCCAAGTTGCATTGTTGTGGGAGTATCATGATCGATACCGAAGTATCGCGCAGATCTATACTTTATGCGCGTTGGTTGACAGTGAATCTCGGGTATTGACCTATCTATGTGCTGCTTGCGAATACTAGGCGAACATTGCGGCAGCGTGGTTTGTGGTGATACGCCTTGAAACTATGTCGTCAAAAACCGAGAAATCTTTCATTAATGCTGAAAACTGCCAACCAGGTTTTACATGGAATAAAATGTTATTTCATTTCTTCTCGCCGATCAATTATCTCACTTACAATTCTTTGAGAATCACACAAATCTAATGGAAAAAAAAGAATTAATTTTATTTGTTTCCACCCTCACAAAATTTACTTATAGAAACTCGAGAAACAATGAATAACAAAGTCTGGCTATATAATTAGAAATGGATTGCGTCTAATGTTAAAATATAAAAACATCATGTTAATGTTTTGTCATGAGTGGACTTTAAAATGAACAGCACAATCCTTTATTGTTTTTATTTAATTACACAAGGGTATATGTGTTTACATTACTTTTATCAGTCCTCAACTATATCTTGAATGATTATTTAGTACAAATACGAGAAGATTTGGAATACTTATTTTATTCATAACTTAAATGGAGGCCACGTTGGTTTTACCATTTCTCAGATATAAGTTTGATTTGATTTTGAATACCATAACTTCTCGTCTCAAAGTGTAGGTGCCACGTTTTTATGTATTTTTTTAGATTTCCTTGTATCATGTTAAACTAAATAATCAGCTAAAATTATTCAATGTTTGTAATTGTGTTTAGTGACTCAAACTTTAATTAAGAGGTTTTTGTTTTTGTTTAATATTCACATTCAGTAACCCAGACTTAGTTGTTCCTTTAGCTGGCAACATTGAAAATAATAATGAGATAACATCTATGCCATTAACACCAAAACAAACACGTCGTTATGCTTCTATGGTTGATGTTTTGTCTTTCGTTCAAAAAAGACAAGATGATGAGGATAGTTTCCGGCGAGAGGAGATTGATTTAAGAAGAGTTGGAGTTAGAACGACAGCGACTTAAACTCGATAAGGAACACCTAGAAAATGATCGAAAAGAAAGAGAAGAACGTGCTAAAATTGAAAATAGAGAAAGAAATATTATTTTTGAATTACTTAAAAAAAACTCTTAGATTAATTGTTGTGTTTACTTTGTGCAGTTGAGATACATTTTCATGTTGGTAGTCTATGTTTTATGTATTTTCATTTCAAATAGTTTAAATTGTAAAATTTACCGATAATTAAAAAAAATGTTTTTGTCTCGATTTTACCTCAGGAATGTTTCAATTGATCTCACTGAATATAATTAAAAAAAACAAATGTAGATATAAAGAATCACATACAAACTAAATAACCTTTGACACAAATATTATAGTGGTTTATTTAACACAGCATTCACCATTTGGGGCATTCAGCTATTGAAGTTCCAATAAACCACTTTCTGCCAACATGGCAGCATCATGTCGTCTACCTTTAGAAGGCCCAAACATGTGAGCTATCAACCCATTAGGAGCAATTATGGATTGAAATTTAATAGCATGTATTCGTTTATGTCTACTGAAGACCTGTTTCTGGTAATGTATTGGTCTTGATATAGGTTGTACTGTACCATCTATGAATCCCCAACAGTTGGTGAGTGGAGAATCACGTTCATGAATCGCATTGCAAAATAACTGCCAAGATTCAGGTTGTAACCAGTACTTGTCCAGGGACTGCAGCAAATGTCCAAAATTATCGTAAATATGATTAAGAACAGTGTTGAATATTATGCTGACTTCACTTCTTCAACGGTCAAATATGGGGATCAAATCATCCAGGCGATTTGGATAAACCAGCCTTCTCAGTAGGATGCATAAATCTGCCGCTCCAGTTGCCACAGTCTTGTTTGCACCTACAATTTTATGCGGAATTTTCATAGCAGACTTCAAACAAAAGAGTTCATCTTTCCCAAATCTGAACATAGAAAGACATTGATTATTGGTCAGTGAAAGAACATCAATTCTAGCACCATCTGGAGTGGGAACTGTAGATGGAGAAATAGAGGTTGTCAACAGACAATGATATTCATTATCACTGAAAATAATATACAAATACAGTATTAAATATTTTTATTTTAATTATATTTGTAAATACAATTTGTACATGTAGTTGAAATTCAATTTTTGTTGCATTAGGCAATGCAAAAGTATGAATAGTCCACAGCCAGTTGTTATTCATTCTCATTAAAAAATAAGAATTAAAATCGTGGATTTAATAAATAGCTTTATAAAACGTACGTTTGTTAACAACATTTCAAGTAATACAAATTCAGGAGTACATAAAATACTAGGTTTTTATGCAGAAAAAAAACAATAGGTAAGTTTTATATTCAAAAATATACTGGTTTCATTGTAATTTGTCATATATACTTACCAAAGGCAGCAAAAGTTGGCAATATTTTACGGGATCGTGCACGCTGATTGTCGTCAAATCACAGTGTAGTGGCGCCCTCAGCGACATACAGATATATGCTTTCTTTTTTAAGGTTCGCGTGTACAGCGCCAACTAAGTTCAGACGCCGAAACTGACTACGTGTACGGCTAGACCAGACGCATGAAATCACTTACGCATAATATTGTAATATTTCCATACGGGCAAGGAGTGCACAAGAAATGCCAAAGGAGTAGTGGGTTACATTAGATTATAAGGAAACGCTGAATCGAAAATGTAAATAATGTCCAGCATAGAAGCTTGCATGCATGCATGAAACATACATAACAGACAACGGACACAAATAATATACTGGCGATCACACACGGCCCTACCTACATACAGTTTCTTCAAACTAAATGAAAACTAGTCTTTGCATGATGAATGTGTATTTTAACGGTGGCAACGACGGTAATTATAGTACGCAGTCAAAATATGATGCACATCCCGTAGATCACAATACATTAATTTGTATGACAAAACACAGTGCGTTGTTCTAACGTTACTGGCAAACGCGTGGTTAGTGGACACGTGAAAGTTAGTATGATTGCAGTCTGCCAGCTACGGCGAAACGACGTCCTCAAGAATAGATCACACATCCCATGATGCAATATTATTTAATGGTTACTGTGGTAACTACAATATCGAACATCCACATTCGGTTATATATGAACGTTCAAATCGGGTTCTATCAAAGTTCGTTTCTTCAGTACTGACCTAAATTGAACAACCATTGTATTGTTCAATACAGAGGATGACTGGGATTCAGGGACCCCTTGGACTCAACATTGCGGTAATGAAAGGCGTGCACGACCAACACTCTCGGTCCTGTTTGTATTAAATTAGGATGTATGGTTTGATAATTCTCACTAGTAAATCAGTCAAAACACATGGCCTTTAAATATACTTACTATACTATATATATTCGATCATTGAACATGTAAACAACGCCAATTCCACACATTTCCTTCAAGTAGCCTGTTTTAATGAAGGAATGCTTGTACCAAAAATATATGATTATTAACCGTATTGATTTAATAGTTGTTAGATATTATATAGTGCATGTCTAATAAATTGAATACAAAATACTGAAGATATTACCACTCAATGTATCTGATTTACTTGTGAGTTCCAAAAATGAATGCATCTGTCACACCTTGTGTTCACGCCCAATTTAATTAGCTAATATTTTACAGATTAGGAGATTTGTTTCTTTGTTTTATCCTGGAACAATGTATTTTGTCCCATGGTCACAGGGTTTTAGTACAGAGTTTATTAGGTCACTCGATATGTATGCGAGGTTTGGATGATTGCGAATTTTATTTAATATTTCATAATAACATAGATGTACCCAATGCGGCATCACGATACACCGCGGAATTTCAAGTTGTTGAGACTTTGTGCTGCGCACGCGCATTTGGAAGCCACGAGACCGCCATTGGTAGAAACTTTCTTACCCGGGCGTTTAAGAAACATCTCAATTTCTGCCTGAATTAACGATCAAATCAGTGTCAGACCGTACTGCATGAAGCGCCGAACACCAGAGCGACTGCAAGTAACCCGATTGAACAGCTAAAGTGCACCCGGAGGTGATGTCGCTGATGAACTTTCTACCGCCTTCCATGGAAATCGTCGTCAAGCTTCAGGTCTCACCGACATTTGCCGAGACGAACTGCTAACCATCGTGTTTTTGCGTAACAACAGCGCCAGCTAGCGTTTCGAAGAAATTGTGAAGAGTGTATTCCAGGAACTGTGGCTCATCATTGATTAACGTAGAAGATTTGTACAAACTAACTATAACTAAAATCGTGTTAATGCCCGCTCCATGTAGTTTGAATTAACGATAACTGTAAACATTCGCAACCGATGAGCGTGGGTTACTTATATTGAATTATATGATTTCCCCTTGTGCTACACTATCACATTGGATGAGTTTAGCATGAGTGTGAATTTATAACGTTGCATCAGGAATTGTATTGCAATTTAGTTGTTTGGTTATTTTTGAATTCCAGAAAACTGACAATTCCCCGCGCCGTTATAATTGGAGTGTTTGTGTTCGATTGATCTAGTATACTGATAAATAGTTATCCTTTCAGTGATACATTTTACTCACATTTATTCAGTATTTTGCTTTTATACGAATTACATGAATACTGTTGAATTGTGTTGTATTTCCATGCAGTAGATCATTTAGTCCTGTAGAGGTCAGTGACACCTTGGATACGGTAACTAAGCAAATTAGGTGAAGTCAGTTTTACCGTGTGTCCATGATATTACGAGTCGATAGTAACAGAACTAGCCCTGAACTATTCCATTTTATGTACTCCGTTGTTCCAATATTGTTCAGTGGATGTAAACTCCATTCGACTGTTGCTATAGTGATGATATCATTGAATATCTGAGACATATCAGCTGCTATAGGAATTATTGCATTGAGTGATTTGCTATGTGCTCATTGATGGCAGTGTCAAATAACAAATAAACGACACGTCCTGGCTTCTCAGGGCCTTTTGGTTAATGTATTTGATGTGTCCGTGCATACTATATTTTTATAATTATCATTAGGATTACAGCGCCCTCCACGGTCGCAACTATTCTCAAGTCCAACGTTAAAGCTTATTGTTTATTTAAATCTTTTTTGTGTGCACAGTCTGGAGTGTAACACATCCTATTAACAATGTGTCAATATTCTAAGATTTATCTTTGTTATATTCAGAACAGAAGTTTTCTGTCTACAGTATTCAATGTCTCTATAAATGTTAATGAGCTGTCCATTTACATGTACTTTCTAATATTCATTGCAGTAATACAGCATAACGTTTATGGAGATTTTAACAGGAGCTGGGTTGATTATAAAGAAGGATTTGGCAATGTGGATGGAGATTACTGGATGGGTAACGATGCAATCCATAATATGACGTCACAAACTAGCTATAAAATGAGAATCGACTTGAAAAAGTTTGATGGTGATACAGCATTCGCCGAGTATGATTCATTCTGGATTGAAGACGAAGCCCATAACTACGTCTTGCATTTGGGGAGCTATTTTGGAACAGCTGGTAACGCAATTATTAATTACGCTGGTCAAGCTTTCACATATATTTCAGAAATTTTTGTAGTTTTGTAAAATTAATTACGATGTGTATTGAACCATATTATCATAAAATATAATTAAATGAGGAAATGCAACGTTGACAATTGTAGTGAAACGACGTAAGTGTTATATCAGTCTTTAGTAGTAATTCTTTGACAATAACATATTTGCATATTTTTCTACAACAAACAGTTGTTCAGGCACGTCAAGAATATTTTTTTTAAACTTAATACTACATAAACGCACACACATTTACGGAATTACATCAAAAACATATTTTAGAAGTTTCGCCGTGTTTCGAAAATTAATTTGGGTACTGTATTAACTCAACCTAAAGTGGGTGATTGGAATATCAATAGTGTCTTTGTTGTTTTAGAAACCTGTGCGGGGTGGATATGTTATTAATTAGTCTAATGCATCTAATTAGTGAAGGGAGATGACACACTAATTCTCCAACGAACACAAGACGACAAATGATAAATGCCGTTAACCAGCTGGAACATGGTAAGCAGTAAGTTGATCATTTAAAGAGAATCATTTTTACTGCAGGCAGCATGGCGTATACAATATTTCACCGCTTGTGCATATGCAGTCTTATCTTGATGAGTAAAATTTGGATTGGAACCGCAAGCGAAATCTCCGGGGAGTCAATAAGTATTTCACCAAAGAAAGTTATATATGCTCTGAATTCACTCTTATGTGTGTTTGCATGTGATGACGCTGAAGACATGTGTAAGTCAGTACGATACCATTTCATGGAACAACGGTGCGATATGTACAATGTTACAGCCGAAAATATTCCACTGTCAACATATACATCAAGGAAAAGTTGGATTGACATTGATAAGTTACAAGGGGGCATAAAAGACGAAGCAAAAGTAAGTATTAGTTCATCAAACTCTCAATTCAAATAGTTATCCAAATTTGTTTCAAAATATCAAATAGCTTCGCGATAAGTGGCTTTCGTGGTAAGTGGGTTTCGTATTGTGTGGGTCTCGCGGGGAGTAGGGCTTTGTCGCATTAACTGGTCCTTTCATCGTTGTTGAGAATTGAAGTTTTATGTTTCTTTAACAACTTGCGCTATTCGGGGAATACCATCCTTAGAACCTATTAATTTGCTCTAATGATTTGTGCATTTGCTCTGGCAGGAGTTCCAAAATAAAACCCATGCTCTGATAATGCTCAAAGTTTCAAAAACCCAGAAACATTACCATTATTATCCTATTGGTGTTGCAAAGGATAATTAAATATTGTTTATTAAAATTAATAATCCCCATAATCGTTTTCCAATATAGATAAATTATAGTACGTAACAAATATATAACTCAATCTCAACAATGAAATAAAGTAATGTATATATATATATATTACTAATGCATTGCAATACAACTAATTAAATTGAAAGAAATTACAATATAAAATATTCCGTCAGTAACACTTCTCAAGGGTGTATTTCATGGTCAGTATTATTTAGGAAAATATTTGTTTATAATTTTATAAATTGGCTTGGCTATTCCCACCCCAATTAGATATAATGTGTACATATTTTAATAAATAAAATTAAAGATACACTAACAAAAATGAAATATTAAATATTGGCGATTCGCCCGCTAGAATTGCGCTTAAAATCATTGTTTT